CCACTATATAAGTCTACTGTACACCACAAGAATCAACAGGTAACACACCCTCGAAAGCAACCATACTAGCGCCCTATATCCGAAGAGCCCTAAACCCTAAACCAAACTCCGGAAAGCCCAGGTGCCAGGCACCCTAAACATAAATCCTATCAAGCAAAATTCACCTATGCGGTCCGGATTTCTGAGCCCCTCGACCTCGACCCCGGATTCCCTGCCAGAGCGCGTCGATGCATGTTTTCCTATAGGTATAGGCAACAGCACTAACAGCACCATCAAGCATTGTGGCTAGCTTCAGATCAGAAGCTTGCAAGCAATATGATATCCTGAGTAATTGCAAATATATTCCTTTGGTTTCTTCATCCAACTGTAGTAGAATGTAACATACCCAATATGGGTAGTTTTCGAAATTAGGGTCCCCTTTTTAGGGTCCCCCAATATAGTACGGCACCTTTATAAAAAGGACCTCAAAAGGGACCCTAATTTAGAGAACTACCCTTATCCCTGTCTAAATTATTTTCGCCCCAATTCGAAAGGGCCTGGCTGACCCCAAGCGCTTGGCCATCGACGGTGGCTCCGCCGGCGGCTACACTACCCTCGGTGCCAACATAGGGCTCGAAGGGATAGGGTCTGAGCATTAATTGTCCAATGGCGGGTACCTTTATGTCTTATTATACTATCTCCATGGGGTCCGAACTATCAGTGGTGGTACCCTCTTTGCAGTAGCTACACAGCGACTATTTTGTCAGATACTATCTCCCAAAATCCCTTTATTATTCAGGCCCATGCGCATGCTGTGGCCCAGTTGGGTTTAGTATGGTTTTGGTTTTGGGATTATGCCTTAGTTCCCCAAACCCAACCTTTATTTTTTTGGGTTCTTATAGTTTAGTAGTACTCTGAAAGTTTAACCTTTGATTTCCCTGGCTTAATGGGGAAGTAAGATTCCATTGCACAGTTTGTTTAGGGAGGAAGTGTGTTGGAATTAGTTAAAACGGCTTCGACTCGGGCCTTACACTTAAACTCTTAACCCTGAAATGTTAAACCCGAAACTCCGAAACCCGAA